TGTTTGATGTTATATGTAAGTACTTTGGTTAATGCATTCTGTAACATCTTTGCTTAATTTTAATGCATGCAGTAACTTAATTTACTGTCACGATCTGAAACGAAAATCGCATACAAAGATGTAATCTTATTTGTTCACCACAATGGGCATGAGTAGAAAGAAACAAAAATGCAGGAAATTCACAATCTTTCATTTTTCACACACCAGCACAAAATCACAAGCCATTTCCAGATGAGCTGCTGGTACCTGGCTGCAGAGCAAGGCCTAGTTGAACATAAAGATGCTGAGAATCTTTGGAAATGTACGATGGGGAAGGCCTCACGATCACAGATCTGTTGCTACTTCCAGGGACAATGTCAACAGATTCAGAAAGATGCGATGACATACCATTGAGTGAACTCTGGTTCTGACCTGTTGTCGAGTTGAAGCTAATGAGTGGCTCCTTGTGTGGAGCGAAAGAGAAAGCGTCGAACCATGGAAGATACTGATAGTACATGAGATTGGTATGACCTTGTGGAGGCTCGAGGTATAAGTTGGAGTCCTGCTGTTGCATTCTTCTCTTCTTTAATCTCTCCTTCTTGTGAGCATTCTGGTGACCCCCTAATGCTTGCGAGTTTTTGAACTCCTTGAAGCAAAACTGGCATTCAAACTTCTTCTTCTCTGCTTCGCATACCATTCTTCCTTCTTCTGCGTCTTTCAAAATAGCAGGCAAGACTTCGGAGCTTGAAGATTCCCCACTCTCAGCTCCTTTATTAGAACCCTCGAGCTGTTTCTCATCCTTGATGTGAGCATTCACCTCAAAGCCAAATAGCTTCAACAGCTTCACCTCCATGAGCAATCTTAAACTACAAGCAACTACTTGATCCAAAAAACCAAAGAGGACAAGAGCACTGTCTTTATAATACAATTCAACTGAAGTTTTGTTATACCTCCACTGGAAAAAATCAGTCTATGCCATAAATAGAAAACAGAATTGGATCGCATAACGCAAATTACGGCTGTAAAGCAGACATTTGGTGCATGAACAGCATAAAGTTATGGAGGAAGATACCCAAAAGGCAAAGAGAGAATGCAAAAGATAATTCAGACATTGGCTGTTAGGCAACTTATACATATATAATACTAAGGATCATAGCAAATGTCACTAGGTATGCATTAATCTTTCCACATCGAGGAAGAATCCACAAAGTCCTCCAAATCATTACTCTTTTCAGTGTTCCTGTACAACTTGAGCAAATGGATGAGCATGTACATAGCTCAAGGAGATATGCCCTCTACAAATTTGAGGTGATCCTGGAAGTCAAAGTGGTGAGGACATTCTAGCTAGGATGCCACTAATCTGAAAACAAATTCCACCGAACACTGCTGCCATCAGCTATTATGGCTATTTTCCAGTATCAAATGCTTGTTTACCAATACCTTTTTGTAACAGTTCCTAAAGCTTCATGCTGCTGAAGAGATCAGGATACCTATTAGTTGCTCAACTAAGGAATAACATAAGTGGAAAGTGATGATAGCATATCTGCTATCAAAAGCGACATCAACAAGATCTGTGTCTATCACTATATATCTTTTTACATAAAGCTAGCACAATGTTGTATTCCCATGAACATATATCTAATAGCTTCACGAAAGTCTTCACTATTATTCTAGCCTACTTTGACAAAACACCAAGTTAACCTTACTGGTCTTGTAGGGCTCTTGGATTATGATTTCATATAATATCCGTCAACTCATCTAAATGGAATATCATTCATAAATCCCTTATATCCCTGTCTTTAAACTACTACCTCAAACATCAAATAGTCCTTGGTTTTCTGGTATGTAAACAATGTTTTGTTGGATCTAAGCAATGAAAATATAGAAACAGCAGGATGCTATCTTGCGCTGACCCAAACTTCGGTTGAATATATTGTATTTCTACATGTACTCCACTGTTCTCTTACTCTTGTTTTGGCAGATAATTCTTTAATCTAGAATGTAAACCAAGGATTTCAACAAGTAATGCACACTGAAAAGAAATACTGTTAGAAACAAAGTTTCTAACGGGTCTCCAGATCAGATCTAGAGATTGAGAATTTAGGGTTTATAGAATAGAATTGGGGATTTAGGGATTTGAGAAGAGAATTTGGGGAAGAACAGAGATAGAATGGCCGAAGCCTTTAGAGAGAAAGATAGACGAGATTGAGAGAAGATTAGGGATTTAGAGAGATGACTTTTCTTATTAATTTCTGCTTAATATGACGAATGACCAAAGTACATATATATAGGGAAATACTAGAAAACCCTAAGAATAAACCTAATTCTACTAGAAGACTACTAACCATAATAGGAATTACCCTAATAATAATTATAACCATAAATATAGAAACCCGATATAAATCGGTTTCTAACATCTCCTCCCCCTTCAGACCAACCTTGTCCTCAAGGTTGACCGACTGGACCCACTCTGTCACGTCCTCCGTGTAATTCACATCCTTCTTGCGTTTTCTTTTCTTCCAATCGTGCTCCAACTCCGAAATTGGGCTTCTTCCACCGACTTTCTTGTGTTGAAGTAATTCTTCGACTTTCACTTCTATGGGCCCACTAATCGCTTTGAACTTCAGCAGTTCCTCTCTTGTTGTCATCCTGCTCCAACCACTAACAAAGTTTAAGGATACTTCCTCGTATAGGAATTTATCATTAAGTGCCAATTCCTCAAGGCCCCTGAACTTCTTTTTTGGAGAAGGCTCATAAGCCTGTATTAAAGCTTCTCCAATTGCTTCTGGGTCATTCTTCCTTGAAAGCCCACCCACTAAGCCTCCAAACCCTTCTTCTAATTTCACCTTTCTCAACCCATAGCCCATGTTGGGCTCACACCCTTCCTGACTCTCATGGCCCGAGTCGAGCCCACCAACTCCCTCTATCCTTGCCACCCCACTACCAAACTGGCACATTTGTGACCCAAGAAGTAGGCCCACTAACCCCTTATCGCAGGTCAACCCAGTCTGCATTGTGTCTTCCTCAAACCAGACCACTCCATTGAGCCCATTAGAGCCTGCGGCCCACGTCACTCGGCCCAACAATGGCTGCTGGTACGGCCAGCCCAAAGTGGGCGAGCTAGGGTTCTTGAGAAGGGAGTAGTCGCCGCCGCCCTCCTCCATCTCACTCTTTGTCCTCTTCTCAGGCCAACAGCTCCTCCGGCGTGACTCCCCTCGTGCATCCGGCGTCACCTCCTCGTCGATGGCCGCCACCGACTTCCGTGCTTCCCCTTTTCGCTCGCGGCGAACCACCTGATCAGCCATCCCTCTGCTTGTCGCCCGCGCCGTCTCCACGACTCCCACCGGCCTGTGCGCCTGCTTCTCCAGCTCCTTCATCGGCGACAAAAGGGTCCCGCCGCCGTCGTCCTCGCCCTCATTCTTCTTCTCCCTCTCCGGCGACGCACGAGGAAGCTCCCTGCCGTCTTTCGTCGTCACCGCCTCCTCGTTGGTCGACACCGCCTCCGCCGCCGAGCGCTCCCCCGCGTCGGCGCCCTCGGCCGCATCCTCCGCCTCGATCGGCGCCGCCCCGACTGGAACTGCATGCGACCGTGACGCCCCTTCTCCCTTCGTGGTCGTCGACCGGATCCCCCAGCTGGGTTCCTGAATAGCACGAGAAAAGGCGATGTCGCCGCCCTTCTCCTTCATCTCCTCCATCGGCGCTCCCCTCGTTTCCTCGTTCTCCACAGGCGACAACCCCTTCTTCGCCTGGACGTCGCGCGAGGCCTCCTCGGCGGCTGCCGTCGTCGTTTCCCAGTTTGAATTCACTGTCAGCGCTAGTCGGTCGTCTGGTGGTCGTCCTCGTAGTGGAATGTCAGGCGTTTGGATCATCCGGTGCTCGATTCGGGACTCCGACGAATCCACTTGACCGCCTATTCCCTCTTTCTTCGTACGTTGTTGGTCGCTGACTTCGATGATTGTCTGTGGAAGAGAGCCCGTGCTTGGCGACTTCTGTTCAACAATTGTTGTCCTCCAAACAAGTTCGGGGACGGAGAGGCGGATAGCAACGTCTTCTTTTGGATCATCTTCCTCGTTTATCATAGGCGAGTCAAACACCTTGATTGGTGGTTTCACAACGGCGCTTGACAGAAGTGGTTGCAGCATCGTGGTGAATTCAGCCGCAGGTGGTGGTGGGGGTTGGGTCTTTGCAGCGACGTTTGGGGTTGGTGACTCGGTTGCCGCCTCTTCGTCACGGTTGTGGACGGGAGGTGTTGTGATTTTTGGAACTTGAAGGATGAAATCAGTTGTCCCAAACTTAGTGCGATAGTGCTCGATGTCGTGGATTTCTCTGAATCTGATTTGCTTTTTGAATCGGATCCATCTGCTACCATCAGTCAACGGTCGTTGTCCTGTTATTGCTAGCACATCAGATCCAACCACCTGCACGTTTACGTGCTCCTCCTCGAACCCAGGCAAAGTGAGGAACAAGACCACGCTACGTCGTAGCTCCATCCTTATGGTCTCAGGTTTGAAGTCTTCATATACTTGTTCGTCCCCTGGAGAGACTCGTGTCGAACTCAGATTTTCGACCATGGCTCTGATACCAGATGTTAGAAACAAAGTTTCTAACGGGTCTCCAGATCAGATCTAGAGATTGAGAATTTAGGGTTTATAGAACAGAATTGGGGATTTAGGGATTTGAGAAGAGAATTTGGGGAAGAACAGAGATAGAATGGCCGAAGCCTTTAGAGAGAAAGATAGACGAGATTGAGAGAAGATTAGGGATTTGGAGAGATGACTTTTCTTATTAATTTCTGCTTAATATGACGAATGACCCAAAGTACATATATATAGGGAAATACTAGAAAACCCTAAGAATAAACCTAATTCTACTAGAAGACTACTAACCATAATAGGAATTACCCTAATAATAATTATAACCATAAATATAGAAACCCGATATAAATCGGTTTCTAACAAATACTCACTCTATCTGTCAACGAAACAACTGAATGACATATGTTATATGAAAATTCAATTATCTCACTTGTCTGTTGTAGCTACAGGAAAGTTGCAGCAATAAGCTAAAAGAGGACATGATCCCTCATGGGAATCCTTCTTTTTGACGTTGCTCACTTTGTTGGTGCATCTTTGACAAAGCTTACCGTGTGCGTATAGAAGGCAATTTAGATCAAACTTCAGTTCATCAGGGATCCATTGATTAGGATGAATGTACGTCTTATTCCGGTCTGCCTCGCCTGGTACCGTCGGAAAAATCGATTTACACAACTTGTTAATTTTAAGTTTCCGGGACTGGAGCTCACATGTGTGTCCACTGGGAAGTCATCATGCTGAAGATTGGACATTAGAACACAAGTTACCTGCCAATTTATTCACCTCGCATGAATTCCAAGCAATAAGTAGAGCAACATTTAGCTAGGTAAAGGACTGATAAACATGGTGATGATAGAGAACTTGCCAATGAAGGAATACGAGAAAAGGTAATATGATAAAGTAAAAGGGGGAAGGCAAGATAAACGCCTGGCTTCAAAAGGTACAGTTACAAAAACCTATGTCAACAATGCCAAACCCAAGTTCATGTCAACTAGCTGTTTCCAAGTACTTGTCTCTGACAGAGATATTCCAAAATGACATTTTATAGCCAGAAAGTACAAGTGCAATCAATAAACTAAACTCCACTACTGCAACCATTTGAAAAATGGTAACTTGTTTCTTAGGAGACACCTAGAAATAAAGGAATGAAAGCTAATCTTATTTTCATGGCAATGAATGAACGAAAGGCTGAAGTTCGTTCTGGTCACAGCTTCATGTGTTAGGGACATCTCTATCAAGAAGAACATTAACATGATAAATTGATTGCAAAGAACTCAATGAGATTAAATCTTATCCCTGGAACTAATGTGTTCCACAATGATGGATTACGAATCCAAACATGTGACAAGTACTTATTTATCATTTCAACAATTCCACATTCCAGAAGATTAACTTCATGGATATCACGGAAGACGAACCAATGTCCATCCTTGAGAATGAAACCAACCTCTCCACTCATCTTGATCCAAGTGAACCGTACACGACTAGGTGCCCTGTTGAACTTATCAACTCTGTTCCAGGAGAGAACAATGGCGCCTAACACAAACAAACTTGTTTTCGAAACAGAAGTACCATATTCCAAACAATTAACGCAACTGATCTATACTTCCTCTCTAAATAACAACCATAAGGGGACTATGGACTGAGAAACTTACAGTTTTGGGGCCAATTCCTTTGAAAAGAGAGCGCTCAGCTTTGATTTCGTCAACTGATAGATTTCGCAAATATTCCAAACACAATTTGCCTTTTCTCTCCTGCAAACCGCTCAACAAGTTTCTGATGCAGGAAGTCTTCCTCAGAGCTAGACCTCCACACCTTATGGAATCCTCCACGGATTTTTGGTTCAGCAGCAAGCACCTTTAACAATACAAAGACGAACACCACATCCCCATTAAACATCTGCATACCTCAAACAGGAAAGACGAAAACTTTTTGTCCAGTTTTCAGTACCAGGGCAGCCAAGGAAACAACCAACAAAGAGCTCACATCTTCCCAAGTGGGGGAAAGCAGATTTCAGATTGGAGAATGCTCTCGAGGAATTAACCTCAGTAGACCATCCAAAACGCTCTCTTCCGCTTCCTCGCTGCCCAGCGGTGCTCCAGATGATTCCAAGCTGTTTTTGGGAATTGCCGTCATCTGGGCACATACTTGGTCTCCCCCGGCGATACTTGACAGACTCCGGCGAGAAGCCATGGTGAGAAAGGACGGAATCGCGAATGGCGCGGCAATCTTGAGGGGTAGGTCGAAGGTGAATCGGGTATGGGTATTGTTGCTCCTTAGTGGGTTTCGAAAATTTTGGTTAAGTTTCGGGCTTGAGCTGCTTTGACGGCTGCTTTCTCTTACGGGTTCTGGCTTCAGAATTCCCGGCGATGACGGATGATGGTTTGATTCCGAACTAAGACTAGGGATGGCAATGGGTCGGGTTGGGTCGGGTTTTACCAAACCCAAATCTAAACTCATGGGTTTATCCGTGAAAAAAATCCGGGGTAAAACCCACTGGGTTTGAAAAACTCAAACCCAACCCAACCCGCTGGGTATCCGCGGGTTCATGGGTACCCACGGGTTTTTGTCGTAAAAAATTCACAATAACAAATTTCTATCAAAATTAAAGTCAAATATCAATCTCTCAATAAAAATTATCCATATATAAAACACTATTCTTGAAAATTCAAGCAAATCACAAATTAACTACACAAATTGTTCAACACCAATCTTAAAAACTCAAGAAAATTGAAGCAAATCACAAATTATCCATAAATAACATGATTAATCGAAACTTCTTCCTTTCAATTAAGTTTTTCACTCTCCACTCAATAAATCAACTTCATTCTACATAACTAGAAAGAAAAAATTAGACATGTCTCCACAAACATAAATAAGATTAGTTGTTTAGAATATTAAATATGCCGAGAAAATTAATTATATAGGTGGGCGGGTACCTGTGGGTTCGGGTTTTATTGTCATCCCTAACTGAGACTGAGGGTCAGTAGGGGCTTCCCGGTTGCCAAAGTAAAGTGGGAGACTTTTTTAGTTTTTTTCCAAATTACATGCATGGTCACTCAACTCAATTTATTAATTTTTTTCAAGTTTGTTATTGAAAATACTTTTTCTTCTTATTCTTCATTAATGTTAAATTGTTAATGAATCATTAAGTGTCATTAATGTTAATTTCGTTAAGTCGTGAGTGACAGTCAACTATAAAGCATGACTCATACGGACACGAAACAAAAACAACATTCGGTGAGCTATTTGATTTTGCTGGGCAATTGGGTGTGCAGTCCTCGATCAATCATAAATGGGTCCATAACTAATAACTTAGTGAGCTACTTGGATTAAGTTCATGGCCACACAGCAGCAGCAGAAGCCTCCCAGCCACCGGTGTCAATGTGTCAAGGGCCTTTCCAATCCTACTGAATTCTGATCCTATTCGAGGCATCTGATCTGGGTTATGGAAGGAAGCCATTGTTGACATTTTGCACATTATCGCCATATCCCATGCTCATCTATGTACTAACAGCAGGCAACCAAATTCACCACCATTCATTCTGGAAATCAACTTCTCTTTGCTCAATCACAGCAACCCAGAACTAACTCAGCAAACACTATGATATTACCAATACTAGCTTACATATCTATAATCTAATCACTCCTCCAGAGCTCCCTACCTCAAGTTCTGTACACAAATACATAACCAGGCCACCAGCCTGCCAGCCAGCCCCGTAGAAAATTTACAATTACTCTCTCCCATAATCAACCAAATCCATGGCCGGCCATTACCGCTTCACTGCTATCGGCTGTAAATGTCTGGTAATTGGCAATACATCAAAACACTAAACTAAGCATAACCTGCCTACTCTTCTTCTATACAAACACAAACCAAAAGTAAAGGAAGAACCAGTACAAGAACAGTACTTCACCCTCTTCCCCAATCCTCCATCAATCAATCAACCACCATTTAACTTACTATTTACACCAAACCGCTCCCCGACCATCAGAACTCACTGGAAATCGGAGCAGCAGCCTTCCTCCCGCCCCCACCGGCAGGCATTCCCCGGTGGTACCGGCTCCTGCTGAATCCACCCGACTCCAGCACCTCCTCCCAATCCACTTCCTCCGCCGCCTCTTCGTCTCTCCCCTTCATCATCTGCATTATCCTCCACGCCTTCTCCCTCGCCCTCTCGCTCCCCTTCTCCTCCACCTCCCTCAACACCTCCCCCGCCCTCGCCTCCTTCGCCAGCCCTTTGAACCTCAAGCTCCCATGGCTCAACGAGTACAGCGCCGCCACGCAGTTCTCCCTGATCCCCATCACCTCCGCATCCCCCCTTCCACCTCCTTCGCCTTCCCTCAGCATTGCCACCAGTATCGCCACCGCATTCCCATCCAACATCGCAGACCTCCCTTCCGCGCTCACCGCCAAGTTGCAGAGCACCAGCAGCAGCCTGCTCGCCAGCCCGCTCGTCTTCACCAGGCTCAGCAGCGTCGGGACAGCACCAAGCTTCACCAGTTTCGCGCGGTTGCTCTGGATCAGGGTCAGGTGGTACAATGCCAGGGCCGAATCGTGCCTAGTCCGCTCGCTCTCCGATCTCAGGGCGTACATCAGCGGCTGCAGCGCCCCCAGCACGCCGATCGCCATCTTGTTCTCGTCCTCCAGAGCTAAACTGAAGAGCGCCCCAGCAGCGTGCTCCTGCGACTCGCTGGACCCATTCTTCAGGAAATCAATCAACAAAGGGACGAATCCAGACCGCACGATCTTCACCTTGTTAGGCTTCTCCAGGGACAGATTCACCAGCGAGGCCATGGCGTTGATCTGCAGCACGCTGTATCTCGACGCGATTGCGCTGCGAAGCGACGAGAGGAGCCGCGGAGTGCAGAGCGGACCCCTGATTTCGTCTCTCGTCCTGGTGAGCTTCCGCAGCTGAATCGCGCCTTGTTCCTGTTCGTGAACCTCGGGGCTTTTCAGCTTCGCCACGATTTCGGCCTCCTCGGGGATCGAGGAGCTGCTGCAATCGGACGAATTGGTGGAGCTCGGGGTCTGAGTTAGGGTTAGGGTTTCGAGCTCGGTTATCTCGGAGGACGAATTGGACGACGTGGCGGAGGAATAGCAGGCTGGTTTCGTAGCCAGAGGAAGCGGGGTGACCGGAGTGACAGGACTGGCATCTCCTCCGCCGTCGACGATTACAGATTCCTCCGACGATCCGGAGTAGAAATGATTAACTCGGGGACTCACCTCTGTCGCGGCGTGGGAGAATAAAATCGGAGGGTTCTCCGCCACGGCCTTGAGCAGCTCCCTCTCGGAAACCCTAAGATCGGGATTCCCGTTCGAAATCGACGACGACGGCGAGTCGTTCATCTTACCCCGCACGATCTTCTCGAGGGAGGCGTAGTCCGGCGGCGGAGGGTGCGGGAGGCCGGAGGCGTCGCACCAGTTGTGAATCGTCCTCTTGAAGGCGGAATTGGGGATGACGGCGGCGAAATTGGGGAGGGAGGAGTCGTCGAGGATGGGGAGGAAGGCGAGGTCGAGGCAGACCTGGACGGAGAGGCGCTCGAAGGTGTGGCCGGAGGAGACGACGACGGGGTCGGACATGAGGGAGCCGGAGATCGGGCAGAGGAACTCCTTCGGGGGTTCCGGTGGTGGCGGCGGTTTGGAGCGGTGGTGGAAGGAGATTTTCCAGCGGTGCTTGCCGTTGCCGCCCATGGTTGAGGCGAAGATAACTAAAGATTAGAGCTTTCTGTTGGGTTGGACTTGGAGAAGGGAAATGGCAGCGGTGAGAAGCATATAGGGGTGAGGTTGAAGACTGGGTTTTTTTTGTGGGGAGTGAGAGAGAGAGAGAGAGAAAGAGAGGGACTTAGTCGACTATGGTGGCGAAGATGATGATGATAGAATGGTGATGGAAGGAAGCAGGAGGGTGGAGAAAGGTAAAGTTTGAGAGAGAGGATGAGATGATGAAGAAGAGTGTGGAGCCAGCTAAGGTGAGGTTTGCTTGCAAGTTGCAGGCAGCTGCAGTGGCTAAAACCCTTTCCTTTTCTGGTCGTGTTGTGTGTGTTTTATTTACGAAACTGGCCTTTTCTCGGTTCCTGGTTTCTTTGTATATGTTAGCGATGATCTGGGTCGCTGGGCAGTGGGCGAAATGGTCAGACTGGTTTTGGTTTTCGCAGGTTCGCCGAGTTGGACGACATTTGACTAGTCATTCTGCTCCTAGGCAGTGGTTTTTTCTGTTCTTATTTATTTGAATATTGTTTTGACCTCGACCTCGACCTCGAGGGATGGTCTCGTACTCGTAGGCGGCTCCGCCATTCAAAGAAGTTTGACACAGAGAGCTTACTGCTGCGGGCTAAATTAATAAGTGATGCGTTGGATTAAGCATTCGTGGGCAAAATCTATGAGCATTGGTTTCTAGAATTGTTTGTGAGATGTAGGTATCTGAAATGAAAATACCATGTCATGAATTCAATTTTTTTTTTCGGAGGCAGCATTTAAAACTACCTATGTACTCTTTTCAAAATATAAATATATAATTAATATAATTAAAATCAGTAATATTTAAATAATTCATTTATAGATAAAGTAATAACCAACTAATACAATTGATGTTAGCATAAATAAATCATGACGAATTTTTATATTCTCAAAGCAATGCAAAATACATTCGTGTTTATACTCTTAAGTAAGTCTCTTTCAATGTATCCTATTAAACCACAATTAGGAAACTGATCACCAATTCAACTTCAGAACTTTATATTAGTATAGTTCAAGCTAAAAATGTTATTTCTACACTTACAGTTGTAAACTGGTAGAATCAAAACTAATTTCAGAAGCAAATCAACTGACGGACGGATATGACTTACGTAGTTTTGTCTCCATCATTATTCTAGATAATTCATCAATTTCTTTCAATTCATGAAATCTCATAACATCATGACAATACCCAACAAGCTATTAATGAACAATTATTATGAATGGAACAAATTAAATAATTAATTTTTATTAATTATTAAACAAGTAATGAGTTGTGATGTAGTGGCAAAATATCTTTATATTACTTATAGGTGTTGGGTACACATATATGTGGAATTTTTTTACCAACCAAATATTACCCATGTCATGGGACAGGGGCAATATAGGCTGGCTCCGCCTATGAGGAGTAGGATGGCAAATTTACCGGAAAATTCTTAGCTCCAATTTTGGTTAGACGAACAAGTTCCAACCATTCACATGTCAGTTTGTTATTGTTGGATTCATCTTTCTTTGTTTTATCAATATTTAATATTTTTAATTATGCTAAATAAATTAAGAATTAAAATATAAAAATTAAAGTGAATCAACCAATAACAAACTAACATGTGGATGGTTGGAGTTCTGCGTCCAATCAAAGTTAGAGCTAAGAATTTTCCAAATTTACCTAGGTTGGTCAAAGGTTATTCTGTTAGCGGTTGCAATCAATAATCAAATCGGTAAATGATTGGTTATTGGTAATCGAATTTAGCTTGTAACTGATGGTTAAATGGTCTACCGACTAATCGATTACAATCATTCTCACACTTAGGGCCGACAATAATAGGTTTTGATGAGCCGCAAGCATTGGACGAAAATAAATGGAGGTTTGAAGGCCTGCACGTTCTCTTTCATACCCTAGTTGTAGTAATAGTGGCTTAGATTCAAATGAGAAAATTTCGGGGAAGGGTTGTTGAAAGAGCGCAGTAAAAAGATGGACTTGCGCACAATTGCTCGACAACAATCAGCAACATTTAAACTTTCATGTAATTTTATGTGGTTTATGGTTGAGTAATTGTTGTGGGTCTCTTATTTTTGTCTGCTTATTTAATTAAATTTGACGGTAGAATGATGTTATTGTGTACGTGTGTTGAATTGAAATGATTATGGATTGATATCTATGTTAAATTATCTTCAATTCAATGGTAAAAACGTAAAAAAAAAACACATTCGAATGTAGAAAAAAATATACAAAAAATGCAAATTTGCAAAAAAGGAGGAGGTCTTATGTTGGTTAGGTTACAAATCGGTTATTTTAATATAACCTTACCGAATCACCTGCTTAATGATTCTTCTGGTTAACCAACAAAATAATCATTAACCGACGATACAATTACTTAACGTGAAATTCAAAATTTTTAACAGCTAACCGATAACCAACTAAACGTGTTCGTTATAACTGAACCCATTGACCGATATGAGTAATTGCCCTATATTTACCTATCAAGTATAGCCCCTGTTATATATCTGATAGATACTATTTTGGATGCAACCAAATAGATTGGAAAAGATATGTAGTTCAATTCCAATTTCGATTGATTTGCATATATTTTTTATTGCCTCACCTAATCAATCAGTCCTGTATTCTAGTTAGGGCTGGACATGCGGGCGGATCATTCGCGGGTTTGGGTTGACCCTCTCGCATTTGACCCGAATTTCGTTAAGTGGGTGGGTTTGTGGGTGGGTGACGGGTAGCGCTGGGAGCCATCCGCCGGGTGATGGGTGGGTTGTGGGTGAGTGTGCGGGTGACCCGCTCAACCCAACAGCAAAAAAATCAAAGTCGTTGGCGTTAGAGAGAGGAGAGTGGAGACGTTAGATATAAACTCGGACTGCTCCTGGAGTTTGAACCTCAAAGCCAACCTTCCAAATAGAGATCCCCTCTTCTTCCCTTTACTTTTTCCTCTAATTCTTGTGCCTAGATCAACGCTCTATCCTTTGTGGAATTATTTTCCTTAGTTCCTTGCACCTAATAATCGTCTCAATCTGTAGAAAACTCTTTCATAATAGAATTTCTATCCAATTTAAGAACTAATTCGACATTTTTCGCCTTATTTCAACTTCTGGTTTCCCTCGATGATTCTCTTCACCTATTATCATGTCAAGTTGACTCCTTTATATTATATAAATTGTGATGTGGGTGAACCCACAAACCCACCCGCATCATCCACCATCCGCCCGACCCAACCCGAGACTAAATGTGGCTGGGTGGTGGGTTAAAAATTATCAATCCGTTTAAGCGCGGGTGGGTGCATTTTATGGTCAAAATCCACCCGACCCACCCAATGCCCACCCGTAATTCTAGTATATAATTTTGTGTTTGTACTGGTTAGATCCGCGTCCGGTTTGTTCTATTTCATGTCCTTGTCTTGCTCCCTAATTATCTTCTTAACAATTAGTACGTAGAAAGTAACGAGGAAGCCTAACTAAAGCAGTAACATAAACTAAGCATGGTTTAATGGTTTAATTAGCAATTTGTTTGTAGCAGGCTAACTGAAGTTGGTTGTTACCTACCCCAATAAATAGGTTTGACTTGGAATCAATACTATACACACAGTCAATAACTCAATATATATATAGAGGCCTTTTGAGAGATGATAGTGACACAGAGCGAAAGGAAAAAGGAGACCTAACCTTCTTGTTTCTGGGGGCTTTTGTTTTTTTTTATTATTTATTCCCAGGGCGAGAGGTGAGAAGTCAATTAGCTCGATCGTCGATCCCTCTTTGACCAAAACTACTCTAATTGTGGGATTTCATTTTTCATTTTATTGGTTAAGGTTTGGAATTCTTAATTATGGATGGTGGATATCAGATCATTAT